AGGGCAGTGTCAGTGTCTCTACAATAATTCTACATTCTATGTTAACACATTTCTAAACTCTAAAATAAGCTAAACATTTCTACAAAACACATGAGGAAACAGCTGATACGAATGAACATAGTGACGCCACAGAGGAAGTGAAATTGAACACACACTGAACATGGAAACACAATGGGAAGCAGACATGACAACATGAGCTTGACAACATAGGAAACGCAGAAATGAAGCAGAAATGAAGCAGAAATGAACCGACGAGGAACACGCACACTGTAACTACACACAGAGGGGAAAGGGGACTGGAGATGAGACATGGACATAACTAAGCACAAACAGAACGTAATGTGTGGGGGGAAACACACATGACAGATGGAACAGGTCACAGGGAAACTTGTAAACAAGAGGAGGGGACAGGAGACAAAGACATCACTGAAACAGATAAAGGGCGAAGGAGACTTAAACACAAGGGGTGAAGACACGAGGGGAATCTAATAAACAATGAAATATAACAGGGCAACGTAGGAGCTGAAGATAACTAAATGAACTTGAACATAAACCATAAAGCATCAAAATATATGAAAACTCAAAACTCTGGATCAAACAACCAAGGATTGTAACAAATACAGACTAAATACTCTAACATAAAGAGGAACCAGAAGCACAAATCATAAAACTACAATAACAGTAAAAAATAATAATAATCCATAATTCCACAAAATTCAAAACTCTAAGACCCATGACATGACAACCTGAGCTGGCTCATCTGAGCTGAGTTCATCACTGGCTTTGCCCAGCTACCCTATGGAGGAACTCTTGTTGTCGACTTGTATTTCATGAACTGTGTCTTTACTTTTGTAAAGTGTCATCATATTTAAATGTGTCTTAGTGTACAGATACATATGTGTCCATCTATGGTCAACAGAAATTCAGTTGGTCATCTTGCTCTTCATCGTTAGCCAGAAACATAAAAGTATATACACATTCATATACACATGCACACTAAAGTAGCTGCACTGTGAAACTTTAACCACTAGCTTCTCCTTTCCTGGCACTAAACCACCTCCTGTCTGTGAACTTTCTGTGAAAAACCAACACTGATCGTCTTTACTTCTTTGACATTTTCCTGAATATACAGAAGCAAAACTGTTATCTAACCCTTTAATGAATTAAAGATCACGTTTTAGTTATGAGTGTTTATTATATGGAAACACGTGTTGTTTTCAGTCATTTAGTTTATTAAAAAGAAGAGGAACAGTTGGGTTTCACCTTACCAGCTGCAATATGTAAAGCTCAGACCTGGGAGGCTGGTGGAGGATAGAAAAATAAAATGAAGTAAAATGCACAAAAATTGCTAGAAAACATCAGGATAAAATGTTCTTATTAGTTTTTAGTAATGATTGATTAATTACACCGTAGATTAGAGCTCTGTTACTGTGTCTTTTATTTTTTATGTTTTTTGTAATTTTTTCATTTTCTATTTTTTTTTTTTTTTTCTCAGGCAGAGATAGTAATGCCAACATCAGAAGTTTTGATGCACATACATTCACACTGATGTACATAAATAAATCAGGTGCATATAAAGGAAAAGGTTTGTATGAATTTTCAAGTCCAGAACTAGTAAATGTGTTATTTGAGTGCTGCAGTTTGCTTTTGTTGTTCAGTATTAGTGCTCGGTTACTTTCATGTAAGAAAAAAAGAAAGAAAGAAATCAAAAGGAGAAGTGTTTCAGAAGGATAACTAGTGTGAAGTGTTTTTGTAAACCACAGGTTTTAGTTCAGGTTTCTGTCGTCTGTTCTCATAAATGATACGAAGCAGCAGCCTTTCTTCTCAGTCATGGAGGGCAAAGAGAAGAGAGCGCTTCACTTCCTGATTCTCGGTAAAACAGATTTTCCATAATTTTCAGTGCTTTTATATATCTATCGCAGGGACAGTCTGAATAACTTTACAACAACTTTTCTTAAATTATTTTTAGACTGAATAACTTTGTCTTGATAACATTCCATGGTTTTATTTTCCCATAGTTGCTTATCTCGTGGTCTCACCTTCACCTTCTGCAGGTCAGTCTGTTCTAACCCTGTCATACTTACATTTTCAATTTCAAGCCATTTTTGCAATATTCTCTCTGCCCTCCATATTGTCTTTGTCCTCATAGGTTGGATCAGATTAGCTGGATCTGGGTCCACTCAGTGCTCTGGAAGAGTTGAAATCTATAACTCTTACTCGTACTCTTACCGTTACTCCTGGGGAAGAGTGTGTGCTGATGGTTGGGACTTAAAAGATGCCGAGGTGGCCTGTAGAGAGCTGGGCTGTGGGATAGCTCTGCAGTCCAGTAGATCTGCTTACTTTGGTCAAGGTACAGAAAATTTCTTCCGCAGTAATGTGGACTGTTCAGGAAGTGAAACTTCTCTAGATAATTGTAGGTACAGCATTAGTTATTCCTGTAACCATGGTTGGGACGCTTTCATCGTCTGTTCAGGTAAGAAAACTTTTCTATAGTGTTTATGGTCTTATCACTTTATGATAGCTGTTTTTTTCGTGTACTTGTCAATACTTAGATTCTAGTTAGTTCTCATTCCATCATATTTTACTTTCGCAGAAAAGATGTTCAAATGTTTAAAACACACATTTAGGTGTTGTTTTATTACACTCAGTCTTTCTGTTGAACATGTTTGCAGTTTAATGCATATTTAATGAGATAACTGATTTGCATAATTAAACATACCATGTTAACCCGTTTCTTACTGAAGGCTTGTGAAGAACTTTGAGCTCAGACTTCACTTAAAGCCTAATTTACAGACTTTTTATCTTGAAAAAGTGTGCCATCCTAAGATCCTAAAAATGTGACTGTGACAGTATTTTCTAATTCATGTGGAGTTAAGAGAAAGTCATTTTTCTTTCAGGCAGCAGTACAATGTGTGCAGCACAGCATTTTCAGTGCCTTTCCAAAAAAGTGAACTCTTTAATTTTTAGCAGCAATAACCTCAAACAATTGTATTCAAATAGCAGCAGGGTCAAAAAAAAGTTTCCACTTAAGCCCCT